TTCTGTGGAGAATTTAACTGGACAGGAAGTGAATAATTTTTCCATAATTCATGATTATTATTATTATTTTTACCAGTCATTGCACAAGACAAAGCACATTTAGAGAATTATTTTGAATTTTAACTCGTTGTGCAAAGTAGGTAAACATGAATTTGGATGTTCTGCATATAAAATGAATAAGAAACAATAGAGATTATATATTGGGAATAATTAAGAATTTATTTGAAAAATTGGAAGAGAGAGAAGTAAGGAAGAAAAAATCGACGAAGGGAAAAACAAAAGAAATTTACTGTTCGATACTGAAATATTAATGTTTCATGTGAAATTTATTTCCAAATTGATAATAAATGATAATCCCATAAAACTCTACTTCAACTCCTTTTACAGTAACTACTTCGTAATTCATTTAATCCTTTAATTTCCCTTTAAATATCTTTAGAATAAAATCTTGAAGCGTTCCGTTGCATTTCCATCGGGAAATGAATTACAAATGACTGTGGACCGACCGTAATTCATTTAAAGTTCAAACACTTCGGTCATTCATTAGCTCATGAATGAAACAAAAGCCATAAAAGTGCAGTGACTTATTTACTGGCTGTTCAGTTTCCGTTCCCAGGTAGATATTTGTTTGGCAGAGATTAGCGAGCGTTTGGATATCGAATTGCCTACTCTCATTTTCATCGTTCACAGCCCGACACACGATCCTTTAATTAGCACGGTCAGTTCGCTTTGAACTGCGGTATACGGTTACACTCTTATCTGAAAAATATAATACGCGGTCCTTCCCCTTTGATGAATTACCATGCACTGCCGTCCATAAATATTTGACCACCTTCAACTTTACTATTCCGTTTTTTTTAATATGTGCACATAATACTGGTAATCAACTTTACTTTACCCTTTGCCCTATGATTTATTTCTTAGCCATGATCAAAAAAAGAAATTTTGACGTTTATTCTATGTCTACATTTATTACAAATATTAACGATCAATAATGGAAAAGTAATATTTCATTTATATTTAAAGCAAATAAATAATACTTAGGTTTCTCAAATTCTGTTGAAAATTTTCGTCACGAGTTCGAAACGATATTGTATGCCAATAATTAAAATACAATTATTATTATTATCATTATGATTATTATTATTACTTATTAGTAATTTCTATTACATAATTATCTTGATTGAAAATATTAATATAATATAGTATTCAAATTGAGTGACACAATTTCCAATAATTAATCATTTATTATGACACAATCAATAATTATCAAATAATCCATAGGAAGTATTTAGATGCAATTATCTCAAAGATGCAGAGGGTCTTTAATTTCAGCTTTGATAATTATTCATTAATCCGGCAGATAGACGCGTCGGATCTAAGATTGCACAATTTCAATTGATCCAATGAACCTTGACACAGTATATGCGGCTCTGCGTTCCAGGTGTAACGAGGTGCATGTATATTTAATCGCTGAAGGATCGCAAACCGGCTGATCCGGCTCGCTGATGTCATCTATTCGAGTATCGACACCCGGTGGACAATTAACTATTGTTCGAACATTGTCCAGCCGTCTATGAATATTAATTATCATATTGTAATTTTCATAAAGTTCAGATTTTATTGTTAATATTAGCCTCTTGCTTTAGAATGTTGTTTTGAGACTCCTAATAAATATTTTTACTTAAAGCTGACGAATACAAGTCGTAAGTATTTCTTCAGCTAAGGAAAATTGCTTTTGCGTCTATGAATATTTTAATTTCATAGCAAACTGTTATTTAAAATTAGTATTTCATTCATTGTTCTGCTACAAATTTATTATTAGCAGAGGAACTTCTTAAATTCAGTTACGAAATAAAAACAGCTTTTATTTTTAAGTACAAATCGTGATAAAGTGTTTCTAAAATGGAGATTCAGGGCGATTTCGTCAAATTTTTGCGAAAATATGGAATAGAAGAAAATTTGAGAAAGACTATTATAGTACCCAATTGTCCATACAAAGGATAAAGAAAGATTTTCCTGTAATTATTTAGTGTTCGTCTACATGCGGTGATTTTTGCTACATTTTAAGAGGAACGAAACGAAAGAAGTGTTTAGTTTGACAGTAATGTTAAGTCGAACTAGGTTGACCGTTCACATAATTTTGTTTCCACGACTGGACGAGGAGCTGACGTACAACTTCCACTTGAAGTTAACCCGACTCGACATAAAATAGGAGACATGACTCTTCCTGGAGACGCAGATAAATGTCTGTGCAATCTGCTGTGATTTCACGTACCATTTCTCATCTACATAATTGTATTTTTAAACAAATAAGCTTCGCGTGTCAGCTTTATCCAGTTGTACAACGTTGAAGTGAAACAAAAGTCATTGTTCCGTTACTGTAGATTCATATCTAGATTAATAATTTGTTGAAGATACAAGAAAAGGTAACATGGAAACTAATAAAATATTGGCATTTCTAATTAATATACCTTCATTTATTTTTGGACGAATTTTTAATAAATTCTTAACTTTTTTTTAATCGTTATGTTGAATTTATTTAATAAATTTAGTTTTCAAATTGCACTAGTTAACCATTATATTGCAACTAATCACTGTACGTTGTTTTCACAAAAATATATTTAACTATATTAAACTTGTAAATATGTAGATGATTGTAATTTCAGTTTTCTTTTAAAAATATATTTTATTTTGTGTTAGAATTGTGAACAACTATTGTATCGAGTTGTGAAATGTCAAATCGACAAGAATACATTTGACTCGGAAGTTAATAGGATATTAACTATCAAATTCATGAATCTACAGAAGAATGTAATAATTGCATTTCTCATTCAAGAACAAGTTTAATTCTGTATTACAACAGTATACAATGATTGCAACAATTGATAACACATCACTCCCACAAGAAAACATTTAACTTCATCGAACTCACAACTATCTAAAACAACGTATCAAGTTCAATTTATTATTGAATCGAAGAGAAAATTCTCTGCAACAATCGTTAAAAATTCTATCACCTCAAACTACCTCAATCCCACAAGACACCATATCCCCCCAATGCCATCAAACTCAACTATCTAAAACAACCTACCAATTTCAATTTATTATTGACTCAAACCAAAATCCTCTCGAACAATCGTTAAAAATTCTATCGTCCCATACCACATCAGTCCCTCGAATCCATGTCCCCCCAAACGTCATCAAACTCACAAATACAATGTTTCAAAAATCAAATCTAATAAACAAGATCAAACACTTCGTCAGACTTACCGGCGTTGTCCGACCGCGAACGACGGGGATTCACTTAAAACTCTTGATCGCAACGACAGTCCGACGACACTGAGAAATTCGGGAGCGTTAACTGTGAACCGGCGGCGACGAGGCTCGTCGAGAGAGTTCTCGCGAGCACGGTTTCCACGAACGTGAGCGTGCCGAGGTTCGCTGGGAACTGGGGAACACGGCGAGCAATGGCACGTCAATGAAAGAACACCGGCGATCGGCGTCGCTCATTCGAGCGTCTCCTGCACGTGCGCGCGTGCAACACGCACGCGTGCACACGCTGCAACTCCGGGGACCGGTCTCTATCTGCCCCTTTTTTCGGGGATAATATTAAATATCGATTCGCGCGCGCCTGAGCCGCTGCCAGACGTTTTATTCCCTGTAAATATGAATTGCTCTCAACTTTGACGTTAACCCCTTAGCCGACAACATCGTGTCGAACTCGTGACGAAAATTTTCAGCTGGATTGGAGAAGTCTAGGTGTTATTTATGTTTTTTAAATGTAAATTGAATGTTGTTGGATAAACTCGAGTTTTAAATATCTGCATTGAGTGTCATTGAGAAATTTTATATAAACTATTTAGAGAAGATTATAAGAAGTTTATAAGAGATTGTTAGTGCACACTACTGTAAATAAATAATAAAAGATGATAAATAGTAGACAATAAAAATGGTAAGCAAATGAATTAACCCCTTGGCCTACAATATCGTTTCGAACTCGTGATGAAAATGTTCAATAGAATTTGAGAAACATAAGTGTTATTTATTTTTTTTCAATATAAATGAAATATTACTTTTCTATTATCAGTTGTTAATATTTGTAAGAAACGTAGACGTAGAATAAACATAAAAATTTCTTCTTTTCCTAATACATTATTAACGATGAAGTTGTTGTGTCGATCAGAGGTAAGAAATAAATCATAGGGCAAGGTGTTAAAAAATTCAAATAGCTAATGCAAGCTCAAACACAATACGCATTTGACGTATTTGATGTTGACGTGTGCATGTGGTAAATTAAATGGAAAATAGATTTACATTTCTTTCTTCAGAAAATTCTAGTGAGCTGTAAGTTTTAGTAAAAGGAATGTTCGTTGAGTTTAAGTTGTCTGGTGTTCAGGATAATTTAACTAATTTCTGTAGTGTTCTATAACAATAGTGATGTTTTGTACAACCAATAATTAATAACTATTCTAATTATATTAGTACCAATATCATTATTAACTTGCAATAATTCGATTATAATGGAATAATATCATTAAGAATATTATTGACCACTTCTAATAATTATATTACCATAACACAACTATATCATAAAAAATTAATAATAATGAATAATTAAATAGGAAGATACCTTTCATTTAAAATGCATTACATACGAAAAAGGATCACCTATATTCTTTGCTACATTAAAGAATTTATAACAATTAACCTAAACGCAACAACTGTAATTACAGGAACACTCATTCTTTATTAATCGACAATACAGACACTACATGCTCCAAAGAATTGTTCCGAGGAATCAGAACAATTTTCAGATTAATTTTCATAATTCACAAAACTGTTACAATACAAGGATAAAAAGCAGCGTGTCGAACGCTCAAACAGGATCTCATTCAAGAGGTTCACAGCACCTTGCGGACACGTTCACTTTGTTACGCAGGGAAGTTGCGTCGCGCGTGCCGAGTTTTCTGCATCAGGAGGTACGCCGTCGAGTCCGGTCACCTGGTTTTAATTGTCGCTTTCTGTAGCTGGCGAATAGTCTGCAACCGAACCGAATGATCTCATTAAGAACTTTCGAGGGACGAAAAACAGTCTGGGACAGGGCATCCTGCTTCCGGTTCTTTCCTTATCCGCGGTGTCATTGTCTTCGAGTTGCTAAGTGCTCGTTTAAACTTTCTACTGTTTGATAAACCTCCTTTCGCGGTATATTGTATGCTAAATTTTGCTGATAAGAACTCACACGTACAAATCGTTGGCGAGTTTTGCTGCGATCAGTAAAGCTATATAATTACGTGTAGTTTAACTATTCTTATACTTAAAATTTTTACCTACCGTTGTACTACAGTTAATATATTATACCTATACATCTAGGAAAATTATATACCATTTTCTCAAATAACTTTGAATAATTGAATTCATTTGAATTTTATGGAGAAATTGTTAACCATCGAATTCTTAAACCAATAATAAATCAAGAATTTTTAAATTCTATCCTGATTTATTTTTGCGTAGTTATTGTTACGTTATTAGATTCTTTACTCGTGAAATGTAAAAAATATTCTAGAATGAGGTGACTTCGGGTCTAAACAAACCCGGCCACCGGCAGGAGTCAAGATTGCTAGAAATCTTTAACCCTAAAGTGTAGAAGCAAGTGTAGATGTGACACAAACCAATAAAATTCTATATTTTCTTTTGACAGGTGTTTATATCTCACCCTTTTGGCATCCTCGAGACTGGCAGGAACATATTTCGCATTTATCGTCTTCGCCAAACTGCTGTAGTCTCTGTACAGTATATATTGATCCTTCAGCCACTGCCTGATCGACGATATCCTTTCATGAAAACGAGTTAGTTCGTCCTTAGACATCAAGTTCGTTTCTTCCGGATCTATCCATATACAAAACGAGTACTGTCAGCAATAACACAATATTTTCGAACACTTGAGTAATCCAGAGCAAGAGGCATTTATATAAAAGTTACGATCAATGAAATCTTAATTAATTTTCGCACATTTTTCTTATGTTACAATTTTTAAACAAGAAAATATTTACTTCAGAATATATATCAGATCAAGAACAGTTTCCTAAAGGATCTCGTTTAATTTAATCTTAAGATTTAATTACATGACGGATACATTTTTAGAAGAAACTATATTCATCTAGATTCAGTATCCTGATATTAATATTTTTAAATAAAAAGAGCAGCTTTAACCTTTTGCGCTCCTAAGTCGAGCGTGACTCGACAACAGTTTTATTCACAGGTGTGCTTCTTTGTCAAGATATTTTTAAAATAGATTGTATTATTTTATTATTTTCGATATTATTAGTAAGAAGAATCGTTTACACTGCTCTCTACAAATTTATTTTTTAAAATGCATTTTAAATAAAATATCGTAATAATACAAAGTTATCGAGGGAAAAATGCAAAAGAAATTCGGAGTGCAAATTACCCACTTTCTACTTAATTTCATTAAGTTCCAGGTCTAAGCACTAGATCTTGGTGCCTATAAGGTACTAGCACCTCCACTTGATTTTTTTATGAAATTTCTTTTATTGGAACATACCTTCTTTAACAAAAGCTGCAATTTTTGGGAATTCAAGCGGCTTGAAGTCAGTCAACTTGGAAGTTGTTGCTGGATCACCAATCCCGTATTCTAGTCGAGTATGCTCCAGTTCCAACAAGTAGTTCCGGATGTCCTCGCGTTCCTGTCGCTGTCTGAGCGCGGCGACAGCCTGCTTCCGCAGTCTACGTGCGTTCTTACAGTCGATCCGCGACTGCTTCTCTTCTATTTTCGAGCGATTCAGCGATTTCTTGATTTTTGACGATTTCGAGGACCTTCTCACACTTCTTCGCCTCTTCTGATCCTGACCAACTTCCTTCAGCTGCAACAGGTGACAATAGACTCACAATCAGGTGTTAATAGACTGTCATTACTGAATCTATTAGATGCGAAAATTAATTCTGGTATAATCATATAACTTCTGTGAATCCACTTATACAATTTTATCTAACTACTGCAATTCCGAAATTGCAAATTGTTTAAGTTAACGCGTTGAAAACCAAATCAAATCACTATAATTCACTCAATTAAGCGGTGATTATTTGAAAACATTTCTATATTATAAATAATATTACCTAGCGCAGTGGCATTCAACAAGATAACCGTGCAATGAGAATAACGGAACTTCGTTTACTGATTCAATATTACATCTTTTCTCATTTCACGTATTTGGCTTCGTGAAATCGTGCGACATTCAACGTGTTAAAATTGAAAATTTTCCCTGTTTTGAAATTTTCCTTCGTATCTCAAAGATGAGACAAGCTTTTCGAACACAAGTATGAATGTTTTTTAATATCTATAGAACTGTAAGATATATAATTCGTTTGTAAATAGACTCTAAACTTAGTTTAAAATGCTAAAATTATTTAATGCTTCCAATAAAATTGGTTTATACTAACATTGTCTAAGGACTGGATCCTGCTACCACCTTCGCTCAACTCAGACGTCTCAATCCTAGCTGTAGGTAGCTCAATCTTAACTGTCCCACTCTTCCTACAGTCCTTAGTTTCTCTAGTATGAAACTTGTGTCGCCTGGCAATAGCATCTATCGCGTCCCTATTTAGACTTCTAAGTGTCCAGGTGACGTCTGATGTTTCGGGAATTTCCCTCAGAAGCTTCTCACTGGATGTGCTCCCTAGATCTTCGACTAGAACCTGATCCTTTGCTTCCTTATCCTCAGTTCTACTTTGCTCTTCCAAAAGCTTCTCATCCTTAGCTTCATCCTTAGCTTCATCCACGGTGTTCCTACAATTGTTGATAAAACCATCAATTGCATGCAAAAGGAATATCTTTCGTTGAAATCTGAGCCTAACATTGTAGCAGTGTTATTTTCCTCCGTCACTTGTTCCTCCTTTCTGTTTTCCTTTCGCCTCGTTAATCTCTCGTGATCATCAGACACCTCAGAGGACGATTCCATCCTCTTCTGCGTGCTGCCAGTGTTTTCGTTCTGCTTCCGGTGTCTCTTGTTTCTGTGAGGATGCTTCCTCGGTGTTGTTTGCTTCGACAACTTGAGGAGGCTCACCGGCGCTATCTCCTCGCCGTTCTCGGTCGTCCTCACGTAATTCGATAGCTCCTCGTCGAGGTCGATGTCACATTCACTCGTGCTCTTCACTATTTTTGGCGGGACCAGCTCGATGATCTTTTTATCCTTCTCTGAAACGTCTACAGGACTAAAAAATTCAATAATGATGTTTAGCATACTTCAAATACTAAGCGTCACTTACTAGCACCAAGTTTGTTTATGTAAAAATTACCAACTACTTTTTTTAGTAACTATAAAGATTCGAAATTTAACACTAGAACTACCGAGCATTTAATATGATTAATATCTAATCCCTATAAAAATGGTAACAATAGATTATTTTCAATTTCTGCAGACATTCATTGCACTCAAATGAAACTGTTTATTTTCAAAATCATTTCGAATATTCAATGGTCTAAAGATATCAATGATTGCTAAATAAAAAAATCGAAACCAGTCATTTTGACTGCTACGACGGTAGTTCTGGTGTTAACAATGCCTGGTTCAATTTGGAACGTGAACAATTTACGAATTAATATCTCTGTCAAAGAAGACACCACGCATCTTCATCAATTTTAGCTACCTTTCTTCAGCCTCGCTCTTCTGGTTACTCTTCGATTGACCATGCAGCCTAATCATGATTTGTTTCACCCCAGATCTGACGGTGTCTTCGGATATCTCTTCAAAATTTTCTCTCAAACGTTCCTCAACATTACTGGAAGATGCTGAGGAAGTAGAAGCTTGCTCAAAAGTGTCGCTCTCGTACTCGACTCTATGCTTCTTCTCTTTAGAAGAAGTATTTGAGACAGTACCAGTTCTTTCTTGCGTCTGAGACTGTTCAGATATTACTTCGCTCCTCTCCCCGCTAATCCTGATCACTTCCTCTATCGAACCTTGGTCGTTGTCATTTTCGAGTTCCTTGACACTGTCCTCTGTTGCTCTTTCTGCGCTTTCGGTTACTTTCTTCTCGCTTTTGATGGTGGAAGAGTCTCGTATCGATCTGACCACTTCTGAAATTATTTCAGAAGCTTCCGATGGCTTGGTGAGGCTAGTAACTACTGAGGATTCATCAACGTTTTCTTGGTGGCCCATGGATTCTAATGTTCTTATTTCATCCCTGGTCTTAGACTTGGAACTAGTTGTGCTTCGGGGTGTTACTGGATCCAAGGGTCTGTTGAGAGACTCTGAATTGATTGGGACAATCTCTTCGTTCACTGAGACATCTGTACTGGCTTTAGAAGAGGAATGATCGACAGTGATCCTAGGGGATTTCTTTGATATATCAATTTTAATAATCTGAGCATGATGATCTTCTTCATACTCGCTTTCGTCCTCTTTTCGTTGCGTAGATTTTGGAGAAACCTGCAGAAATTTCTAGTTTAGAGGTTTCATTAGAAATGATTCGAAAGGATTTGAAGAAGTTACTCGGAGGAATGTTGGAAATAATTTGAAGTTGTTATATGATGACTCACATTGGTTCTAAGGTCTGAACCATTTTCTCATCATAGTTGTAAATTGATAATAGGGAGTGGAAATGTAACTAGCATAACTGTACTCACAACTACCTTAGGCCTGTGACCATTCTCGATATCGCCGACATCAGGAGCTTCAACATTTTTAGGTGCCATTCTGGCCTTAACTGGAAGGTCCATCAACGTCCCTTCTAGCGACGTGTCAGTGCTGACATTGCTCTGAGCCCGAGTACCTTCGTTACGTTTAATGTTGTACTTCCTGTCAATCTCCTTGAGTCGCATCAGCGCAGCAGCCGCCTTTGAGCGCATCATTTTGCGTCCTTTTTAATCTTGGCAGCGTCTCCAGAGGCTAACTGCTCGGGGTCGACAGTTTCACTGGCTTCACTTGTGGATTTTCATTCAGTTTCGACCGGAACGTGTATGTTGGTAGCCGTTGCCAAGGGGACAAGTCGTACACAATACGGTTCGGAAGCCAATACGCTGCCGTAGGTGTTCGTTGAAACGTGCTTCTCTGACAAACTGCCGTCGTTTAAAAGGAACGAATCTGCTTGAACCATCTTTTAAGAATGAAAGAGAGAAAAGGGCACTTAGAATATATCTAAAGTATATTTATTTAATTAATGAATTTATTTGTATGCATTGAGACGTCACTGGGATGCCATTTTTTTCGTGTGAAATGTACAGCTGAAACAAGATCGTTGAAAATAGAAAAAAAAATAAGAATTAACCGCAGTGGTCGATTATACAAAGTTATATAATTGTGCTATATCATTTCTGATAGAATATTATGGTAATGGAGACTCTTATCGGCATGATTAGTGTGCAGTGCGATTACTCAAGTGTTTATGGAAGGACATGCACGATATTGTGTGCGAGATAAGTAAAAAAACTGAATTATCGCATAAATAATTGAAAAGGAGAACATGTGGAGTACATTTTAATTATTCACATACCATGTTACAATTTAATTCTACTTCTCACGACTGTACGCCACCTTCAATCTTCATTTCTCTAGAAATAAACTAAAAGCGTACCTAAAGAGAAAGTATTTTCCCTCGAAAAATATCAATATCCATAATTCAAAAACTATATTCCTTTCTCTAACATTCACAAAATAAAATTCCACATATATAATATTAAAATTCACCAAAATCATTTTCATTACATTAAATAATTCACATCCGCAACAGTTGCAAAAATATACGATTTAGTCATTAGTCTCCAACTTCCCCGACGCTAAGAAATACAAAGAAACAAACACTCATAAAAATACGAATTAACACGGTTGCTATCAGTTTCACGTATTTGTCACCTCAATATTTCCATATCATCCATATTTTGTTCAAAGAAAGCTGAATTACATTTACATGTATTTTCATGTAATATCGTAACGCATCGTACAATGTCCAGGAAATCGCGAAGATTTGTTTTCTCGGATATTATTTATATTTTATAAAAACTAAATTTTCTATTTAATAAAATATTACAATCGGAGAAACTGTTACTGAAAAAAATGCTGGTAACAAATTAACACGTTCGCTGCCAGCGTCACATATTTGTGACAGACGCAATCTTATATTTTACATAAAGCAAATGAAATTAATCTCATAGATATTGTTATTTAACACGCTGACTGCCACGGTGGTTACCGATGACCAAAGTTTCCAAATTATTGAAGAACAATCACAATAAGAAACATGATTTTAAATAAAAATATTTAGTAACATAAGTAGCTACATCATAGCGTAATATGACAACTGTAATACTAAATCATTAATAATTATTTCCAATATCATTTGCCTTTGTTATTAAAGAATAAATATTGCTATTCAAATCGCTAGAAATTCTCGTGGCAGTGAATGTGTTAAAGTTATAACCTACGGAATTATATTTCGGAATTCAATAACTTATTTCAGTATCATTTTTTCGATATTTTGTTTAGATTTATTGAATAAAATATTATAATTGAAGAGGTCCCCACCGAAATAAACGCTGGTAGCGAGCGTTAAACAAAAATGATTCCAGACAAGCTATCCTTCGTCACCGAACATTTGAATATCGCTCCAAAAGCATCGTCCAATCGGCCAACCAATAGGATCGTTCCACTGCGTCGCCACTTCTATCTCCTTCCGTATCGACAACAGATAAAATAAGGATAACAGGTGACGTGAGGTTATGTGCGGCGCGGCATGTCTGAGGCTGCCACGGCGCGCCGGCTGGTTGGTCGAGCGTGGTCGGCGGCGATTGGCCGTCGCGCGGCAGCCAATCGCCGCCCTCCATCTGTCTACCCCGGCGGCTGCTAACTCGCCAACCACGTCCGCGACTCGGGCATTATCGGCTTGTTCATTGCAGAGAAAGGGGATCATCGTCGTGCGGACTCTCGTCGTCCCGGCGTCACAAAATGCAGTCCTTCTGCTCGCTTCTGCTTCTGCTTGCGGTCACGCTCGTCACCGCGGAGGTCTACTACGAGGAGAAGTTTCTCGACGGTGAGTAAAATCCGGTGAAACGAAAAACTTCCGTGATCCAACTCGCTCGTTCCCCTTTGACTTCGATGGAGGTCCCCTAGCACCTGTACCCTGAGAGATCTAGAAAAATCGTCCAGCCGATTCGCTCGGTTTTCTCAGCCACAACCACGCCCAATCATTATTTGGTGCTGATCTTCTCAGAGGAAAGCACCGGTCTAACTGTACTTCCCCTAGAAACCCAACTGTTTCGGCGTACTGGCGCTGGCCACACGCTGTATGTTTCTCCTTGGTAACCACACGCCCTAGCGTTCGATCCTCTACGCGAATCGCGTGGGATTCGCTGAAATGGTCGGCGAGGGGATTCCCAGGTCGTTGATTTGTTTACGCTCGCCATATGCGCGGTGCGGCCCTCGAAAATTCCACGGACGTGGCCGGGGGAAAAGATGTCTCGTGGCACTAGCGTACCCTGCTGCGTTCCGCCGACATGACGCGCGATCGATCGTTTGATCCGCGTTGAACGGTCCCACCGCTTCCGAAGCGAAACCTCGTGGCTCGCCGAAATTGCTCCACACGCCGCTATTTTTATATTGCTCCTGGAGAATTCGGCGCTTTCTCTTGTTTTTTTGAATGCCTGCGCGCGGCCTGTTGGTGCCGAACGCGTTGCCTTCGGTTCGATTGGACGCGGTTGACTATTTTTGGATTTTATTTGCTCGCTTTCGAGTTGAGTGGACGGGGATAGTTTTGTGGGAATTAAGAGTTAACTTGGGAACGTTGGTTCCGGTGGTTTCCGAGATTAGTTTGTTTGCTGGTCTTTAGGTGATAAGATTTGATTTGTGGTGATACGTTGGTAGTACTTGTACTGATGGTTTGTATTTTTCAGACTCGTGGGAGAAGAACTGGGTGTACTCTGAACACCCTGGGAAGGAGTTTGGAAAGTTTGTTCTGAGCCATGGAAAGTTCTGGAATGATCCTGAGAATGATAAAGGTAGAAGGAAAGACTGGTTGCGTAGAGTTTTAACAGTTTGACTGCCACAGGGGTCATTGATAACTGGAGCTTTCTAATTACAAGAAAATAATGACTTGGAAGATGATTGATTTCGAATATAAATTTTCCGTAATGTAAATAACTAGATAATAGGGTAATACAAGAATTTTCATATCAGAGAATTAATAATTCTTGCTTTGTATATTTGCTATAGAAAAGATAAGTGATACATAAAACACTGATGTTTTTCGTGGCAGTCAACGTGTTAATTATTTTATGCAATTGAATGTACATATTGCTTTTTCCTTGTTAATTATAGGTATTCAGACGTCTCAAGATGCCAGATTCTATGCAGTGAGCACAAAATTCAAGCCTTTCAGCAATAAAGATAAGCCCCTTGTTATTCAGTTCACTGTGAAACATGAACAGAATATTGACTGTGGTGGTGGATACCTTAAGGTATTCGACTGTTCATTGGACCAGAAGGACATGCACGGAGATAGTCCATACCAAATTATGTTTGGTAAGAATTAGAACTTACTTAACAGTATAACCGAGACTAGAGTCACTGGTCACACCCCATGGTGTACTGGTGCTAATGAATCTCGGAGAGAAAATTCTAGCATATGCCCTGAATATAGTTCCTCATACATAGTTCAGGCACCTGTGGAGATACAGTATATCCTCTATTTTTGACTAATTCTTTGTATAAAGTCTTCAAGAGACTATTTAAAAATATTATACCGGTTATGAGAAATCCCCCCTAAAATTACATGTCTATTTTCATGTATAAACTGGACGATCTCGCATTTGTCTGGCACACGTCCAACAAACGTCATCAGTGCAATTTTGTAGCTGAAATATATGTTTCTCCGCAGGACCCGATATTTGTGGACCTGGAACAAAGAAAGTGCACGTGATCTTCAGCTACAAAGGCAAGAACTTGTTGATCAACAAAGACATCCGTTGCAAGGATGACATCTACACTCACCTGTACACTCTGATCGTCAAGCCGGATAACACGTACAAGGTGAGAGGACATAACATTACATGATACCAAATATGTCGAGCCTAGAGTCACATGTTCTCGTTGATGATTGTGGAGAACGGGTGCTAGAGGAACTCGAAGAGGGAAGATTATCTTGTTTACAAATTGTACAATAGTCACTATCTGCTTTCGTACACAATAAGCAAAGAACGACAGTTCATCGTTATTATGTTTAATAAACCCAGCTAATTCTATTATATGTATAATTATGACAACATTAGGGTTATATAATCTTTTCTTCAGGTTCTCATTGACAACGAAGAAGTCGAATTTGGTGAATTGGAAGCAGATTGGGACTTCCTCCCACCAAAGAAGATCAAGGATCCGTCCCAAAGCAAACCTAAGGACTGGGATGACAAGCCTACCATCCCTGACCCTGATGACCAGAAACCAGAAGACTGGGACCAACCAGAACATATTCCTGACCCTGAAGCCACCAAACCAGAGGATTGGGAGGATGAAATGGACGGAGAATGGGAGGCTCCTCTGATCAACAACCCCGACTACAAGGTTGGTTTCTATCAGGGGATCCTAATAATATTTTATATGGTTCTCGAATTAACTATGTTCTTATTTCCCTGTAGGGTGAATGGAAACCAAAACAAATTGATAACCCCAACTACAAAGGAATATGGATTCACCCAGAAATCGACAATCCTGACTACACGCCCGACCCCGAGCTGTACAAGAGAGATGAGATCTGCGCCATTGGTTTCGATCTTTGGCAAGTCAGATCTGGCACCATATTTGACAACGTCCTCATCACGGACGACCCAGAAGTCGCTCGCAAGTTCGGCGAAGAAGTCTGGAAGCCCACTATTGTAAGTTGAAAAGAATAACTAACCTTAATTGATGAATCCAATTTGAATTAAATGATGACACAAGCGTTGCCGATTTTAATGAGCGATAAAACAGCTGGAATTCCTCGTTGCTGATCGATGATAATTATATTTGTAGTTAGTTGGAAAAATTTGGGAAGAGAGATAATGTTTTGGTGGTTCTTGGATTTTTAGGAGGGTGAGAAGAAGATGAAGAGCGCGCAGGATGAGGAGGAGAGAAAGCAGAGAGAAAAGGAGAGCAAAGAGAATGAAGACAGCAAGGATGAGGATGAGGATGAGGATGTAGATGAGGAGGAGAATAATGTCCCAGACGTTGAAGTAAGTGGTCATCCTTAAACCTTTAACAAACCAGCAGTGTCTTCAACATTATATTACAATAAAATAAATAATCCGTTGTTATTATACTATTATCGTTATAAATATTACGTATACAAAAAAAGAACAAAACAATTTGGAGATATACCCATTGGACACTACTGAGTTCCTAAATATTGATGCATCTTTAGAAAGCAAAATCCTACTTAATTAGGTTCCCACTAGAAGGGAAAAAATATCCGGACATTGCAATTGTTTTACAATTAATGTTTTTTTTTCTCAATTTGTTTCAGGAGCACGACGAATTGTAAAGTACTTTGTCGTGATCGACACGAACACAGACTGTATTCCAGGAGCTGTGTGGCCGCGACACGCACTAAGATTTTCCAAATGCAAACGTCACAGTAATAAAGATCATTGTTGCCAAACGAACAGGGGCGAGAAAACGCAGACTTTGGACACCCTCGTTCGTC